TACAATGCAAAATAAAATAGATAAGAAAGGTACCAAACGGATAAAAATTTGTGTATAGATCAACAAAGCATAGGAAACACGGAAAACTTCGCGAAAGCTTCACCAACAAAGAAAAGAAGTCAAAAATCAAATCGTCTAACATAAGCATCAAAGCATCATCGATGTGAAAATAAATCATAATTAGAAAGTATCGATACATTTGAATGTCATACAATAAACCTGCATGAAAATACAAATCCAGACAAAAACACAAACAGTGTATACATCTCATGGGATGAGACAACACGCTCAGACGCGTCAGAGCTAAACCGAACCACAAAGAAGTGGAACTAATGCTTTAATTGAATAATCGACAATTAATTAATCGATTGAAAGCTCTCTTGAATCACCTTGCACAAGTCAAATGAGTTATAAATAACAAGGAAATGTAACCAAAGTTAAGCATCTGTATCACAATTCAAATTGTCATTAAATCATGAAGAGATAAGTTCCAAACATGTATCGGAATCGTAAAATCAAACACTAGGCAGCAATTCATGAACAGGTGAAAACGCACAAAAAGTCGGAGTAAAATCAACCAACTTTGATATCAATGTCAAACAAATATGCTAATAAGCTCAAACATGCATCAAGTTGGAATTAAATCATCACGCACGCATACTTGCCAACTCCGGGCAGCAACGTTATACTTCACAAAATGCTCAAAAAGTTGGTTTAAATCAATCAAAAATGATACAGGTGTCAACCAAATATGCTAACAAGCTCAAATATGCAACAAGTATGAATTAAATCACAATGTACATGTAAAAACCACTTTTCAGACAGCAACACTTAAACACGTGAACATGCTCAAAAATTTGAATTTAAATCGACCAAAATAGATACCGGTACCAATCAATTATCAACACAAAATCACTTATGAATCGAGCAAAAATTAAAACATGGTTTACGGTGTATTTGTGAACTCCGGGCAGTCATGGTGTATATGTTGATGTTCACCAAAAATTGGTTTGAAATCAAAATTTTAATGCACTAAATCCGAACATCAACACATGAAAATTTAATCGGAGTTCACAAATAAAATCTATCAAGTAAACCGGTATCAGTACAATGCTTCCAAGCTACACAACAAAAATTAATTACGCGTCGAAAACAAGTAAACACTTTGAAATTTGATTCCGATACATGAATTTAAACAAATATCAACAAGTATCGAATCAGAATCGAATTACGATGCATAAATCCAACAATCAACAACAATTAATTATTTTCGACATGTAAGTCTCAACAATCAAATCAAGTGCTCAACCAATTCCAACAATTGTAATCATCATCAACATGAATAATCACATAATTTCAACAATTCTCATCAACATTATTAACGTTGAGAATCAAATATATTTCGCAATCAAGGTTCAACTCATGCTTAATTCAAAAATTAAATCATGTTAAACAACACACCCTCAAATTAATTTAAGAGCAGAAATCTGCACTACAAATTAAATCAAGTAATTCAAGAAGCTTACCGAAAATGAAGAGGAGAATTGATCGGAGGAATCAGATATGGCGTGATGGAATCGGAGCTCGCGGTGGGCGCTATCAACGGGATGGGTGGCGCACGGTGGGGAGGCTTGGCAGACCGAGCAGGGGAGTAGGCCGGTTGGGAAGGGGTGGTCGGACAGTTAAGGGGAGCCCGGCGGTGAAGCTCGATGGAGAAGGGAGGAAGAGCTCTTGTTTTTATTTTGATCTTTGAGAGAGTTCTTCCAATTTAAGAGTGATTTCTTGATAATGAGTGGAAAGTGATTTTGATTTGAATCCAAGAAATATATAGAAGTACTCTTATGCCTTGTTTGGCAAATGGCAAAAAAATACAAATTCCCTTGTTTTTTGGTAGTGTAGAATTTTCAGCTAATTTTTGTGTACAGTTCGAGAACAACCCACAAGCTCATGACTTTCGGTGCGTAATTCAAACTCGGGCCTTGAAACAAAAATGTAGATGACAAAATTTGTGACATCGTGCCGAAAGAATCTCCCTGGTACAATAAAAATCGAGAAATTTATGAATTTCGCAATGAAGAGAAACTTGCAGCTAGATTTCCGTCTTTTTGGTTGCACGACTTTTCCACTGGTCAATTTGAGGAACAAGCCATAAATCGAAGCCTTCGAAGCACAATCTGAACTCGTGACCTGAAGCAAAGTTGTAGCTAACAAAATTCTTGATACCATGATTTGAAAATCATCTCAAAATGTTGAGAAATGTAAATGTTATTATTTTTTGAATATCGAAAAAATAGATGTCTGGCAATCCATTTCACTGTGAAATTTTCAGGTAATTTGCACTTTCGGAGATCTTCTTCATATAATTGGCTTCCGACCCGAACATATGAATTGAAGAGGATGTCGAGATGGTCCTAATGTCTAAAGAACCACTCAAAGATGATTTTCCAGTCACAATTTATGAATTTTGCAACATCCGAGAAACAATCAACCAAACAAACATTCCAGGGTACCATTTTCAGGATATTTGCATATTTGGAGATCTTCTTTGAAGAATTGGTTCCTGAACCAAACATATGAAATGAATATGATGTCAACACTATTCTAATGCCCAAAGATCCACTAAAAAAAATCTCGACGGAAGTTATGAATTTTTGAAGTCACACTGCGAAATACTGCTTTTCTGCTCAAACTGTTCTGAATTGACTGAAACGCTTGATTTTTTCTGCAATTCAAGGCATGCTGGAGCACATGAGAACTTGTCATGATGAGGGCTTGACTGACCGCTGATTAAATATCATGGAGAATTCTCTGAGCGCATTGACTAACGAAATACATGTCTTATGTAACTTGACAAAGCTTAACGAAAGTGCCTTGATCCCATAATCATAGAACCAATAATATGTATGCATGTGTATGATGATGAAATATAAGCCAAATATGGATGAAATGAAGAGGGCAAATTTTGGGGTATAACACCTTGCAGCGTTAATTCAAGTGTTATAACTTGTGATTCAAGTAATACTTAGGATGTTAACATAACATCAATTTCTATGCTTAAAGAAAGACTCGGACATGGACTATAACTAAGATAATGAGTCAAGAGGTTTCTCAAAGATACATGAACTTAAATAACTGAAGCGAATGAATACGAATACAACATATTACTCCAAGTGAATTATAATAGCAATGCTACAACAACGTTAAATATAATCCGCATGATGAATAGGATACAAACAAGCGATAAATCAAACAATATATTATACACACAAAATTAACAAACAATTAAAACTAAAGAGCAATACTGATGGTGACTGCAATTTCAAAAGAAATGGTATTTAAAAATCAAAAGTTAGGGAAGAAAAGAAAAGAAAATGCTTTAACATAAAATAATCCAAATATCAAAATTCAAACATACAAAAGAAAAAACACCAAACAAAAATGGTTGTAAGAAAGAGGACGTAAAGAAAGAAAATTCTGAAAAGAAATAATATATGCTCTCTTATCTTTAAGCTTTTGAATCCAAAGAAAAAACAATATCTTTTTTGTAAAACTCACCCATATTACAACTAAAAGAAAGACCTTAGGGATCCATGACTAATTATGTATCATGTGATATTATTTAGATGAAATGTAAAATATTTCTAAAGTTGATGCGTGATCTGATAATTGAAGGAAACACTAACTTATTTGAGTGATACACGTGTGAGATGATGATTTTGATTAACTATTGATTGTCGATCTAAACATATTTTAAATCATACTTTTGTAAAGCAAATAATTTATCTTCATACTATAGTTTATGAATACTTATAATATTGATTATGAACTTACATGTGAAGAAAAATCATGTCATACTTCAAAGTGATTTGAAAAACTTGATTATATCTTGAAATCTTTCATGAATGCTGCATAATAAAATATTTTGAACGATTCATATTTATTTTGTTTGGCTACAAACACCCATCTCTCGCAAATCAATGGAAATATCAAGAAGAAATTTCCTACATGCCCCTCAGAATGGGGTGAAATCCTACTTGAACTTGATAAACCGACACCATAAAAAATGAGTCATCTCTAACATATCTCTAAACTCACATATCCATCTACCCGTTAAGTTGAACTTCTTGGAAAGTAGAGAAGAACTCTACAATCAAGGTTCTTCATACATAAAGAATGATCTACCTTACCTAAGATCTAAGATCTCAAGTCGTCCTCCCGTAATCACAACTCTCAACCTCACCAACATTAACTTTATGAATTTGGAAAATAGAGAAAAATTTAAATAAAACTAGCTGTCTCTTTGACGGCAAGAAGTAATAACAAGTTCAATATTCTTAAATAAATAAATTTGATTACATAAACTAGTAAATGTTGTGATATTTCCATGAAAATTATTCTAAAACCAATGAATTATGAAATACTCCTCTCTACTTTTAAAATATACCACGTTCTTACTACAAGATAGTATAAGTTAAAAAAATATAATTAATTTTATAAAAAAAATATTATAAAATCATTTATAAAATTATATTTTATTTAAAAATTAAAAGAAAAAGGAAATAATAATTAGATTTTGTATTATTTACAATTTAAATAAAAAATAATTTTTAATATAATTTTAATATTTTTACTACGTATTTTTATTTAAACAATGCTTCCATTCAAGAAGGCCCTGCACTGCTTTTAATGGAGGTTGAATATGATTGATTAAAAAAGAGTTTTGAATTCAAGTTTCTAAACAAACTCATCTTGTCATGCAGTGACTGAAAAACAACATTAAATACACATTTAATTGTACATAATTTTCACAATAATTCACAATTGCTATCACATAATCAAAATTTGTTGCATCATTGATTGTTCATTGTTAGTTTAATTTCTGATATTGTGTTTGATTTTTTGAGAATTCTTTCTATATATTGGAAGACAGGTTCCTAACAATGACTCTCAAATAGAAGATCCATTATGTAACAACACATGCACACAAATTATAGAAACTACTACTGAAATGAATGTCCAAGAGAAGCAAGTGATGAACCTTCCTTGAGTTCAATATCACCAACTAGAGAGGTTCTTGAGCCATTCAAAAATTGCTTATACCATTTTGCGGAGAGCTTCGGGTATCTTCTCAACTCTGGATCATTCCTATCAACAGAGTATAGCCCAAATATCGATTTATATCCATCCAGCAACTCGAATGCATCAAGGAAAGACCACACAAAATACCCCTTTACATTTGATCCATTTCTGAAGGAAAGAAATGACACGAATAATCAGACAATGTATATAGTGTTTATTCTGTAACTGTGATTTTGGACATGGAGTAGCAATCACATACCTCAACGAATCGAGCACGCTACCAATGTATCCATGCAAGTACTGCACCCTAGATACATCCTGGAGTGATGCATTGCTTACTGTCCGTTGGCCTAAAAGACAAGCATTATGAATGGTTCACCAAATCGTTGTTAAATCCCTTGAAGTTTAATTATACAAGCTCATACAATTAAAGATGGAAAACACTTGAAAATCATCATATGCAACCACATAGTGATAAAGTTATTTGGCTCTCTATGACAAAGAAAACCCTTTGCGCCGAAATTTGTTATTCAATATGAATCAACATCCAAAGACGATTTTCTAAAAGAGACTCGTTGCAAACAATGTAATCTTGAATGAAGGGTAAGCATACCATTTTCATGAATGAACATAGGTGGATTGCCATAAAGGGTCTTGAATGTTTCCAGCACTTCTTGTAAAGCCCATGGTGCCATTGGGTACTGAGTCAAATCAAGCCAGATAGTTGTATAGCAAATTTATCTAGTGATTGAATAGAGTATTATTGAAGATGATAATTGTAATTAGTTTTCAACCGTTACCTCTGCGTCTCCGAGTATATCCTCTACACCTGCAAAACCATAGAAAACAAGGGAATGATTCATTTTGCTCCACCAATTATTCAACAAGTGATAGACATGGTTGTATGCACTTATTAAAAGGATTCAGATGCCAAATGATGTTTAGATCAACAAGTTGAAAACATCAAAATTATAATGAAAAAGATGAAGTGAATGCAATTAGTACAACAAGCATGTATAGCTCTAATCTTTGAAAACCACCGCGCTTAAACATAAGTACAACACATACCGAGTATTTTTGCACCTGAGTCTGCACTTATATCTCTTAGTGTTGTCTTCAGGGCATCAGAATTGTCTGATACATTAAACTTGCTGTAGTGAATAATTCCAATAAAGTCGTAGGAACCCTTAACTTGTTCAGATTCACGAGTTGTGAATGCCGGTATTCTTGTGCCTGCATTTTCCTTCATCAAATTGGGATAGTCTCCGTGCAACAAGGGTTCCATAAACCTGTGATAAAATAGGCTTATATAACTTTAATGTATAAAGTTAGAATAGATAATATTACAACCAGTTTTAGTGTCAGTAACTCACCAACCAAAATTAAAAGTACGGATTCGTTCACATGCTGCCCTGTCTTTCTCTGTATTTGTCTGAGGAACTGTCCCAAATGTATATAGAGAGATACCAACAAATCCATGTTGTTGCTCCTACAATGTAATTAATTAATTAGTCTCTATGGAATCATGAACATTACTTGCCTACAAAGCTTCTGTTGGTTGGTAAATATTAAAAAAATTAGGTGATATACCCTGTACTTTCTTTTATACAATCTCACAGCCGAAGAATGAGCTAACAAAATATGATGTGCAGCCAGGTACGGTTCAAATGTTGAGTTTCCCTTAGAACTCGGTATCATACAAAATGGAGGAGAACATCGTTGAGGTGGGCTAATTCCCGTACCGTAACTACCCTTGGCAAAGACATTTGGCTCGTTCACAGTTGTCCAATATTTGACTCTATCTCCGAATTCTCTAAAACACACGTCTGCATAGTTCGTGAAGTCCTTTCTGCATCGACATTCAAGACATAATTCTCAATTCTGTCAAATAAGATGCAATATAAGAACACTTCAAACAAGTTGAATTATTTTATACATTATAATTCATACACTATAGAAGCACGGAACATACATGACATGACGACTAAGCCATCCTTCATAGTCATCTTCAAGTGCTTGTGGAAGATCATAGTTGTGTAGGGTGACATGTGGCTGGATACCTGCATAAGGGAAAGACTTGCATTGCTCAAAGAAACATAACTCTTTTGTAGTATGATGCAACAAATTAAGAAACTCGTATCGAACCATTGGTAATGAGTTCATTGATGAGATTGTTGTAGTAGTGAAGTCCCTTGGGATTGACGGGTCCTCTACCATCTGAGGAGAAATAAAAGCATTTGCAAAAATATATAAAAAAACATTGAATTTCACAGTTTATATGGATATGTAGTAAAGGTGAAGTTGAGTAGAGAAGTACTTGGTATCAATCTGGACCAAGAAATGGAAAATCTATAGGCATCAAGGCCTGTTTCAACCATGAGCTGCACATCTTCCTGCATTATTGTTTGTATTGTCTTAACCAACTAATGCTTGAAATTAACAAATGAACCATAAAGCTTTATGTATCGTTCGTTTACCTTGTATTTGTGGTACGCGTCGCAGGCTACATCACCATTTCCACCATGTGCAAAACCTTAAATTGCAACAACAAACTATATTCTAAAATTGATAGGATGAATGATAAGATGAAACATGAGCAAAATAAGGATTGAATTAATAACCGAACCAGCATGAGCAAAGGTATCCCAAATGCTAGGAGTTCTTCCATCTTCATCAGCAGCTCCTTCCACTTGATAAGCAGATGTACCCGAACCAAAAACAAAGTCAACTGGAAAATCACTTCTGTTATAATCACCACCACCACTCACAAGAACTCCCACAACAAAACTGAGAATACAAAGTAACAAAGAAAAGGCAAAACATGCTTCTGGTTTCATTATTATCAATAATAGTAGTATTTGCGTTTTCAATTTTGTAAGAACCTCTAATGTATATTGCACTAATCAGAGGATTGTCATGTTTCTTTATAAGATAATGTCAAGTTGTCTATATTACTGCATTTTTTTAAAGGTATACTCAATTATTGATTTTTTGTCTTCACGATTACGAATGACCGGTGAAGATTAGTCACTGTGTTAAAAACTTTTAGATTAAATTTTGATGATTCAAATTTAAATTGAAAGATCATCGGATAAATAAATAAACATTCTATGTCATATATAAGGTACCACAACCAAATAGGAACGGATACAAAATTTTTAAATAGCATGGCAATAGTTATTATAAATTAAAACTAAAAATATTATTTAAGTAATTTATATTGATTATTTTTCTTATAAAAATAATAATAATTTAATAATTTGCATATATAAAAATATATGTTTTTAATACGATTTAGTGATAAGCCTGTGATGAAAAAGGCAAAGGTAGTTGTATTTTGGGACATTGTGTAAGCTTTTGATGGAAATGGCAAAGAGTTGTCTTCTCTCTTTTGTAGAGTCAAATTTATTTGAGTCTTTAAGGTTGACTTCGTCCTTCAACGGTCTATAACTTTCTTGAGTTTCTTTGTAAGTATCGGGAAACATGCTAGCTGAATAGTTGGATAAAGGTAAAAATAGAAATGAATATGAATTTTTACGGAAATGAATGGGTATGCAAAAATATTTTTGGATTTTTAGGATATACTAAAAGTTTTCATGGATATGCAATGCAATATGGATCTTAAGCTAAAGATATACCTAGGGACACCCTATACGGGTTTAGGGATATATATACAATATAAAATCCCTACAAGCTAGAGATTAAGTCAGACAAAAGATAACCCCTACAGGCTAGAAATTAAGACTTACAAAAGATAACCCCTACAGGCTATGAATTAAGACTTACAAAAGATAACCCCTACAGGCTATGAATTAAGACTTACAAAAGATAACCCTACATACTAGGGATTAGGATAAACCAAAAGAAACTCTTACGGGTTTAAGGTAGTGAATATCCTATACGGGTTTAGGGTAGTTAATATCCTATACCGATTTTGGGATAGATATGGAAATGAGAACACATGGTGATCGTTCAACGGTCACCAGATCCCATGGCCTTCTAGAGGCCACGTGGCATGCATCAGTGGGGATAACCTTTGTGGGAAGGTTCAATACGGAGAATAAGATTCTATAAAGGTTCCAAGGACAACGACGGACAAAAAGGAATCCCTACCGATTTGAGATTATAACAAACAAAGGAAATCTCTACAGGCTAGAGATTATGCTATACCATGGGAAATCCCTACAGACTAAAGATTGTGACTCAAAAGAAAATCCTACGGGCTAAACAAAAGAATACCCTTAAGAATATAGGGTATAATAATGATAAGAGATAACCCTACTTAGGTTTAGGATTATAAAAGAATGTCCCTCGCGGGAAGGTTTCCTATGCAAGATGAGATGATAATAGTTTCCTTAGTACGTAGGTTCATAAGTTCGTTCTATGGATTTTTCTACCCTTCCCAAATATGGTTTCCTTAAGAGAATCATGGATAACACGTAAGGGTAAAGGCATAAGGGTCTTCCTTAAGTGGAGCCTCTTTGTAGACCGAGACTTTCGTCTCTAAGGTCGTACAAGGTCTCACCGTGATATTTTATTTTAGGGTTATACAAAGAGTTATTGGCCAAATCCCAAAGTCCTACATCCTAGAGAGTCTAGCCCTCCAAAATATATTCCTTAGAACTTTACCGATTCTAGGTGAAGTCATCACAAAATCTTGTAGGGGTGTTTACCCTCCATGGCTAATAGACAATCCTTCTTCTAAGGTTTGTTATATTGAAATTTAAATTTAAATCCCATCAATAATAAAATAATAAAAATAATAATAAACAAAAAATAAACAATAAACAGATATAAAATAAAATATACTAAAAATAGAAAAAATTATAGATCTAAAAGAAGAGGTAGACAGTCGCCAGTTATCGTAACTGGCAAAAAATAAGAGAGTCGCCATCATTAATTTTTGTCCTAAGGACATGGGGAATAACGGATAACCCTAATTGTTTAGAGATTCTAAGTTTGCGAGTAGGTTAGACGAAGGAAAGGTGTTAGACACCTTTTATCTCCATTGTTCTCAAGGGACATCCTATTTTAGGTTGTAGGATAAATCGAGAATTTTCTATTTTAACTGTATTGTTTCCATATGTTTGAGAAAAAGTTTAATTTTTTAGTTAGGGGACTCGCCTTGGTTTTAACCGCGTGCCTATGTATCTCCTTGCAAAGAACATAGTATTTGGTTGGTGTTTTTTATAGGATTGCGTAGAATTGCTTTCGAGTTATCCTTGAACCTTGTATGAGTTTTGCAAGAGAGTGATCGTAGACGCAATTCATAGTTTTGATTTGAAAGCAATGTTACTTAATCCTTTATTAGAAAATGATCTTGAATTTTGAATTATGTTAGTAAAAAATAATTTGAATTATTGATTAGCAATTTTAGATTAATTTTGAATCGTCGAAGAAAGTCGGGTCTTCATCAGAATTAAGTCGCTCTATGCGAAGTAATTGATTTGATTGAGTCTTGATAAAGAATCTTGATCTTTATCATAATTAATTCGCTTGAGGCGAAGAAATTTGACTTTGTTTATTTATCGCTTTGAGCGATAGCGTTTGATTATTGTTTTGAGCGATAGCGTTTGATTATTGCTCTAGGCATAAACTAAATTTCACATGAATTTTAATTATTTGAAGTTGAACAGTTAATTGATAAGGCGTTGAGCCAACAAAGAAAAATGGTGAATATATATGCACCAATTCTATTATTTGTAACATGTTTGAATTAATTTAATTAAAAGAATAAAATTATGTACAAGATTATCGCAAATTATTTATAAGTTCTAATCACGCTAAATTAATGGAAGAATTAAAGGTATGTTTTAGTTTTTTTTATATCGGTTTTATTGACTGAACAAAGTCAAATACCTTAATTAATATATTGTTAAATAAATCAATAGTGATAAAACTAAATTAGACTAAAATAACAAATAGGGGTGCAGTGATGGGTGCAGCGTTACAAGTGATAAGGGCCCAAAGCCCATTGCAACTACTAAACCTAATTTATTTTTGTAAACATTAAAAAAGAAATTAAAAAAAACTATTATAGTTAAAATAAGGCAAAGGGGCGTCCCATGTATCATACAACCATTTTTTTTAGAGCAAACTAGTAACAAACCCGTGCTATCGCACGGGTCTCGTCTGGAATCACATTACATTTATAGATTATTAAATTATTAAGTATGTTACCATGTTTTCAGTTGAGTATATGTCTCATGTAAACCATGTTGGCATTTAACTCCATATTTGTAGCAAGCGTCGGTCCTATCAACAAATCACGTCTGCATGAACAAATAGGAAAAATTATATACTTCTTGAAATACATGGAAAATGTACATACTATATATTTTAATTCAAAATAGATTTTTAATTTGAATCGTAAAGTATAAGATATAAAGTTTACCAACTATCAAAGTGCTTGAAAGACTTCCTTGTACACAACATTAGTAGTAGTAGTAGAACACGGTACATTCTCCTTGTCATGAATTAGGATTTTTAGCCCACTTTTGCTCTTAACTCTTGAAATTGCAACATATAATTGCAACATATTTTTTTATAGTGTTAAAACCTGGCAATAATCCCATACATAAGATGAACTAATTGATGCATGAACAATATCATAATGCCCAGCTCTTGGAACAACAGGAAGAATCTGTCTAAAATCTCCTCCAAATACAACAACTTTTCCATCAAAAATAGTATTCTCAACACCCTTTTTGCTCATTACATCTTTAAGGGTTTTATCCAATGCTTCGAAGCAGTTCTTGTGAGACATAGGTGCCTCATCCCATATTATCACATCCGTTGCTTCAAATAATTGAGAATGTTCGGTGTCTTTGTCGATGTTGCAAGTTGAGTTGTCAAGCGTTGGCACAGGTATTTTGAACTTTGAGTGTGCTGTTCTTCCACCCGGCAATAATAACGAAGCTATCCCACTTGAAGCAACAGTAAGTACAATTTTTTTTTGAGAACGAAGTGCACTTGATAGTATTCTCCACATGAAAGTTTTACCAGTCCCTCCGTAACCATGCAAGAAAAATACCCCTCCACTCTGTTTGTTAACAGCATCCATGATTTTCTCAAATATCAAACGTTGTTCATCTATAAAATACAAACCAAGAATTATAAGTGCAAGGACAATAAAAATCATTTTTGTAATTCATAGTATAAAGAAAATAAATCACCTGTAAGGGCATGAAAAAGTTCTTGGAATTTCTGTTTCTCGGTATCGGCATCGTAATTAAGTTCGTCATAAATAAGCCTATTGTCAACATGTTTTGTGATGTATGAATCTGGATACGGCATACATTTAAATTCATGCAAACTTCTTCGATTCAATTGCATCATGTTCTCAATCTCAATTAGTGTGAGATTCTTTAACTCATTGTCCGATAGCTGCAATTCTGTTAAAAAAAATTCATTAGTTTTCTATATAATTACATATGTATGATGCAACTGCTGTCGTGATGTTGAAATACATTGAACATAAATCAAACAGTTGATGTTGCGGCTGCGTGAAATTAAATGGAACCAAAGACACTGTTGCAGCTGCAAGTTAAGAAAATAAGTTACATACATGACAAATGACAAATATGAAAATGTTTCTTACGTAAATGGACATACCTTATGAAACATATTAAATAAGGGACATATGGATGAAGAATAATTATATTTTAAAGTAAGTTCATATCATTATATTTTGTAATAAAAAAAGATACAGCTTGCATTCGGAAAATAATATTTGTTGACTTAAAAAAGTTTAATAAAGTGTTCATACCTCTTCTATTTGTTTTTTGCCTTTGTTGGTAAAAAATATCGTGTAAAAAATAATTGTATGTAAAGAATAGTTTCACGTAATTGGCAGAATAATTGTAAAAATAAATATTTACCATATCATCTTAAATTTATTTATTCAACAGTGATAAATATGTGTCTCTTAGTTAATTACATTTATAAATAAATATCGTGTATTAGTGATATATATTAAATTTATTATCTTAATGTCTAACTAATTAAAATGAATTTATTATTGTCAATTAAAAATTATAATATTAAATAATAATATAATATTATTATTATATACGGGAAAAAGAATAAATTAAATCTAAGAATATCGGAAAATTTATTATAATATTAAATAATAATTTAACATTTATTATTACAATGAATCATATATAACATTTCAAAATTATGTATTTATTTCTTATGTTTTATTATATTTGATTTGTAATAAATATTTTTAAGTTTATTGCGAATTTTCAATAATTAAATATTAATGATATTATATAAAATTAATTTCATGAAATAAATTTATTTAATAAAGTGTTATATAAATATTTAATATATTATATTATATCATTAATTTATATAAAATGACATTAACTTATTCCTGTTTATAAAATTATTGTAACTTTTTTCCGGTTTATAAGCATGTTGAATTCGTGTGTCCATTATTAAAATATATGTAATTTACTATTATTGATATAAATAATTTTATAAATAGTTTAATTTATTACATTTATAAAATTATTTGTAATTTATTCACCTTTATAAAATTAATTATAAATTATTTAATTTATTAAAATGATTGTATCAATAATTTTTTATTTTATCATAAATTTTTATGATTATCATTTATCATTAAATTTTCATGATTACCATTTAATATTTTTTATCATGATTACAATTATAAAGTTAATTTGAAAAGATTATGATATATTTTAGTTATTTCATAAACTTAAAAAAATTATCAAATCTCAATTGATTTTGTTTTGTTTTATTAACCTTTTTATAGAAATTGAAATAATTTATTTTAGGTCAAATAAGGATCTAAATAATTACAAAATAATATTTATTCTTACATTTATAGAATGATAAATTAAATATTTAAGATAAACATTAGAGTTCTTATTTACTTTATCTTTTATATATTTATAATATACTTTTTTTGTTAATTTTATTAACAATATATTTATAGTTAACAGTGCATCCTTTAAACTACGTTATTTTTTTCAAGAATATAAATGTAACCTTTCAAAAAATATACACAAATATATTTAGAAGTCGGTAGAAAATTTTATTGGTTAAATTATAATTCCATTCAAAATTTATTGATCATAAATTTTTGAAATCAAATCATGCATAATATTAATGTGACCATTCAAAATATTTTCTATATATAATAAAAATAAATAATATTAATACCTCCATTCAAAAGATATATTTGTAAAGTTTTGATTTAATTTTTTTCATATCTTTATATATTCTAATGTATATAATATTCCTACAATATGAAATAGTATCAAACCTATAATATTAAAAGAGAATTCAAATTTTATTGATCATAATATTTTATGGAATCAAATCATATATAAAAATTAAATATATTTATGTCACCATTCAAAATAATTTCTATATAAGTATAATAAAAATAAATGATAATAATGTCTCCATTCAAAAGATATATTGGTAAAGTATCGAATTAAATGGTACTCCAATATTTGAATAAAAAATTGTAATATAATATTTGTTTTTAATATTGTATAAAAATATATTAGTTAGTCGTACTTTAAAAAAATAAATCATAAATATTTTATTAAAAATTGTAATATTTGTTTCTAAAATTATAGCAATTAAAAATAAAAAAATATCAATACAAAATAAAAATTTTATTCAAATTTCACGACAAATGAGAATTATAATTTCGATTCAAAATAAATTAGAATTTTGAAGGCACATCAACACCAACTTGTAGGTTATTATCTTCTCTTTAGGAGAAGAGAAATTCTATTTAAAAAAGATTGTAATTAGAATTTGGTGTAAAATAAATTCCATTAAAATATAGGCCAACATAATTTGCAGTAGAAAAATATATTATGCCAAAACCAATGTTGATATGACATACAAAATATGAAAGCAATAATAATATACATATACATAATTTGAATCAAATATTGTTAAAAACATTCTTCTATAGAACCAGAAAATGATCGCATATCAACGTTGGTTTTATCATCTTATACATCTTAGATAATTATTGTCTTACTTTAGAACTTCAGGTGAATAAGAGTCTCATCCCTTTGACTATCCTCATGTTCATCAAAATCTCGTTCTTTATCTGTCAGAAAATACAATTAGTATATAATCAGTACCTGCCAATGAAAGCCATTGATATTCCTTGTGGAAGCATAAAATTCAATGGTTTCAATTTCTTAATCTTCAATTAAGGCTGTAGATGGAAATCAAATGCTCGGGAAATCAAATCATCTGCACCATATTGAACATATATTTACTATTATAAGGTTAACTATCAAATAACTTGAATGAAAATATAAGTTAACACTTGGCTTTGATGATGAATCACATGTGAAAATCAACTCGATTAAGTAGATTTAAAATAGTGGTCTCTGGTTCTGTTGTGGCAGTCTCCAATTATTCTTTAGCAATATTTTTGTTTGTGAAATTAGAGAAGCAAATGGTCACTCAGCCATGACCATGATGAATATTGGCACTTAAAATGCTAAGACAACTCTGCAAACAATAATATTATAAAGCATTAAAACTAAAAACAAATTGTTTATTTCTTGGGCATGATAAAAAGTCACGCCATAAACTTCAGGCCAATTTGAATTAATGGGACCCCCATAAGCCGAAGTTGACCCCCATAAGCCGAACCACTAATCCTTTCTCTATCAACCTCGAAAACAAATGCTTGAATCGACCATGAGGTAAAGTTTGATAATTCCTTGTTAAGACAGATTGTGACTATATTAAACCTGACAAAATCAAATCGCAATCAACATAATTTCATTTTACGTATCAATCCGTTATTCAATTTGTTGATTTGTTGATTGATCCTCTACTGATTCAAGTGTGAAATCAATTATCAGCCTCCATATCCATACATATTCCAAAAGAAGAACCGATTAAATCAAGAAAATAAATACAAAAATCTCAATTAGATACAAATAAATATAATAGTATGAGAATATACTGCTTTCTTTTATCAAACATGTGATGGGAGAAATTGAAATTTAAATAGATTAATAATAAATTGAAAGAGGAAGCAAAAGAAATAAGCTTCTATCTATTTGGAGAATCAATCGTAAATATATATGTGTGAGCTTTGTATTCACCAAGACTAAACAAATAAAAAAGCCAAAACTCAACCTCATATTTTAATTAAAAAAAATTAAAAAAATTGAGAAATAAAATCTGAATAAAAAAAACATACCTAACAGCAAAAAATAAACAATATCATGGTTGTGTTGTTCGTCACATGCAAGCTCAAAAATCCCCTTCTGCAACTCTCAAACCTAAAGATAAAGATATCCCATTTTAGGTGTCAAGTTAAGCTTTTTTTTTTGGAAAAGGAGAAATAGTAAGACAACCCTGAAAACGAAAAGAATACAACATAAAATATAATATTCCAAACTACATTTCAGTTTCAACTTTCAATCACATGTTTCAATCACTCACCTTCGTCACTTACATATGTATGAATCAAATTAACGTTAAAAATTTCATTTGAAGGAAATTCTTTTATAGATCTATAACGGGTGTTGTTGGTTATTGATGTTGTTGAGATTCAAAGGTCTTGGTTGCGACCACCATTTCACTCACCTTCGTCACTTACATATGTATTGCATTTGAAGGAAATTCTTTTATAGATCTATAACGGGTGTTGTTGGTTATTGATGTTGTTGAGATTCAGAGGTCTTGGTTGCGACCACCATTTCACTCACCTTCGTCACTTACATATGTATTGCATTTGAAGGAAATTCTTTTATAGATCTATAACGGGTGTTGTTGGTTATTGATGTTGTTGAGATTCAGAGGTCTTGGTTGCGACCACCATTCTTACGCTTGAACATAAATTAACAGGTTAGGATGAGAATATTATATGGTTGAGATTACAACGAAACGAAATTGGTAGCAACAAAGAGAGAAGAATGAAAAGAGATGGAGTGGCGCAGGAAGAAGATGAAATTAGGTTTTCTGATTTGTGTTTTAATAGAGTTGGACAAAAAACGTGATTAGGGTTTAGTGGAATAATTAGAATTTCAAAACCCAGTGTACGTAGCAGCTATAATATGAGTGTTTTAATTTAAATTTCAAATTGAATGACCTTTGGTTTGGATGAGGGTTTTGGGAAGTGGTATGTAGCACATAATTAGGTGTGATTATAACGTGTAAATATAAACAAAATGACATAATTGTTGTTAGTTAGAAATAATTAAAAAAAAGTAAAAAATGGCAGAAAAAACCATAGTGTGACACATCAGCCATATTTATTGTCAAATCAATATGGTGCAAGTATTTCAGAAAGTTACAAATATACCCGACTAAATTGAAATTTACTAATTAGGGTATTATGGTAAGTTAATGGTAGACTAATAGATAATAGATGTTGATATTTTCAAACCTCCTCATTGGACCAATCAGAAAGCGACGGGTGGAATGAAATTATTAAAATTAAAACACAAAAACACAAACCTTTCAGCAGTATATCTGTGAGAAAGAAAACAAAATTAATTGTAACCTCTTCTCAACCTTGTATTGTATCCTCTCCCTTATTCTAATGAAACCAAACAAACTAAAAAATAGAAACCAATACCTGGTTAGTTCATTGAGCGACTACTGACATGAAGGATCGACGAATGAGGAGTGATCAGAAGGGCGTGGCGGTGACGAATGCGTGTCCGGAGGGGACGATCTGAGTGGCGGAGAGAGTGTGAGGTGTTACCTCGTCGTGTTGCGCGGTCAGGAGCTTTGCGGCGGTTGGTAATTATTCCATACCTTTTTTGAATCTGAACCCTGTAAAAAATATAAGACTTGAGAATGAAGTTTGGAAAAGATTGTTTTTGGTTAATGGCTGTGTTGTAACAGGATTTGTTTATGTTATGTAATTGTGATTTCTTTGAATAAAGTGTGATGTTATCGTGAGGGTATTGACTTGTTAGTAATATGTACAGTTCGACGTGAATGAGGATTGTGAAAAAGGATTTGTAAGTGTGAGTATGTATGTGAAGGCCAAACAAAAATAAGGGTTTTTCCAAAGTGTGTGGTACCGTGAATAGGAGTGGGTATTATGAATGAATTGGTCCCATATAGGAAATTGAATTAATTTAGACATATAATTGTCTATTGATTAATTCGTTAATCATTGACCAAAGAAGAAAGAGAAAAGAGATGATGAAAAGTGAATTTTTATATGTTTTAAGAAAAAGATGGGGAGAAATTGTCATATTCAAGACAAAGACAAGAAATTGTTGATTCAAAGATTTAATGAAAATAGGAATCATCATCATTTAGTTGGAAAAATGTGTAAATTAAAATTAAAACGAAGGTAAAAATTGAAAACAAAAAGATGAAAGGGTGAAAATGGTGGCCTCATATTTAATCATTGGCCAAAATAGTTTTGTAAATGTTCAAAGAAAAAAAGTTGAAAAGTCGTGGATGGTGATTGTTGATAAATTGTGTAATTGTCTGTTCAAGATAAGAACGGGTTTAAGTGTCTATTCAAGACAAAACCCAAAAATAAACCAAAAAAAGTTACATAGAAAAATGTTTATGAAAGAGAGAGATAGAAAATTCTTGATGAGATTGTTGATGAAAAATTAGGACAGTCCTATTTATAGAGTTAGAAATTAAGTTAAAACACTAAAAAAGAAATCAGAACAATGAAAAATTCAAAGTTTCTATCTTTGTCAGCAAGTTTAAGAATATGATCTCATTTGTGACTCTGTACAAGATAGGATTTGAAAAATATTTAAACTACAAAAGATTTGATTTATTTATAGATTTTTAACTATTTTTTGAATAAAAAATAATAATTTTTAAAATATAATAAATACATAAAAACTAAAATAGTAATTAAATAATAAAAGATATGATTTTTTGTGATTTTGAAAATGAAAATAAAATTAATAACAAAAAAATTAAAAATAAGACCAGTAAGACTCGAACCTGTGACCTTTTACTCACAAGCTTTATTCTCTTATCAATCATGTTATACCATTCTATTCGAGATTAAAAAAACACGTAGAAGCATATGAATGGGCCATGTGATATTTATTATTTAAAAATACTAATAATTTTAAGTAAACTATTTTATATTTTTAAATAATCAAAATGAATTAATATCCAAACCAAATGTTAATAAAATCCAAAATAAACCAAAGAAAATTATAAAACCCAAATTTGAAAATCATTTGAATTTTTTGAAAATAAAGCGGGAAAATTTGGAGTATGATAACTGCCCCTATTTAATTACTCTTCGATTGAAGGGTGCGAGGGGGCGCAATTCTCGCACGTTCGAATCAGAGGATAATTAAATAATGAAAGACCTAAAATTTGACCAATAAATCGTAGCTTGCTGTGAAAAAGTATGAAACGACGTAAATGACACAATTAACCCATTGATCTCTGGAATGAGATTCAACATATCGATCTTTGTTAAGAGACTTATCCAATAGATATATGAAAAGTGTCTAACGTAGACTTTGCATTCCTACCACGACCTAGGGGGTAAGTGAATGTAGGTGTTTACTCATCTTTGCCAAGGGACTAATCCAATGGAGTTGAGAAGTTTTGAAAATTTACTTGCTAAATCTTTGCGATTGTCAGAGCAGATTATAATCACAGATTTTGCTTATCTATCACTTCCTAGGGAATAGACAATGTGAGGTCGATCTTATCTTTGCAAAGGGATTAATCTGATAGAATTGATGAGTTGGATAACATATCACTGCTCATGGACTTATGCGAATAGTTATGATGTTGATTTTGTGTGTCTATTACAACCTAGGGAGTAGATAGAGATCAACTTTGTTTATGCCAAGGGACTAATTAAACGAAGTCGAGGAAGCTTCAAAAAATACTGCTAAAGCTTGGAGACTAACATAGCAGGTTGTACATTTATCGCTACCTAGGGGATAAATGATACTGGTTTGAAATTTGATTTTGGATCTGCAATTTTGATAATTGAGACTTGGTAAGTGTGCATGTAGGCTGGTGTAATAGGAAAAGAAAGCAAGCGCGGATAGCCAATCGATCATTGCCATGGAACTAATGTGATACGAAGGAAAAACAAACGCGAATAGCCAATCAATTGCTGCCAGGGGACTAATGCGGTTGAAGGAAACTTGATGTAACAAGAAAAGACATAGATTAACATATTTAACACTGCCAGTGGACCAATGTGATAAACGAGGACCAAACCGATCACTGTCAATGGACTAATGTGATAAACAAGGAAAAACACAGATAGCCAATCAATCACTGCCAGGGGACTAATGCGATTGAAGGTAACTTGTTACTGCTCAGGGACTAACGTAACGAGGAAAGACGTATATGAACTTATTTAACACTGCCAGGGGACTAATGTGATAAATGAGGACCAACTGATCACTGACAGGGGACTAATGTGATAAGAAGGAAGCTTGTTATTGCTCGGGGACTAATGTAACAAGGTGAAAGTTGAATTTGATAATTGAAAGTGTGACTTTTGGAAATGTTAAAATTGGAACAGTTTGAATTTGAAAATTTTGAGAATAACTTATTACCGCTCAAAGACTAACATGACAAGTTATATCGCAAATATCGCATATTTACCACAACATAGGAGGTAAATAACACATATTTGAAAATAATAACCTATTGCTTATGGGTTACACTCCTAACGTCTAACTTGCATCAGAAACGAAACAAGTGAATCCTAAGGGAGCATACAAAGGTTACAACCTAATGAAAAGTACAAGCACAAAGTGCAAACAAACAGTGACAAGTTGAAGCAAAAACAAATATCGATTGCAAGCTAATAGAAAACAAAGGAGTCCAATGTATCTCAACATGGGAGTAAGGAACTCTTTCCACTTGATTTACTCAAGCACCAGCATCGAGTAACAACTCAGAGCATCAATTTCGAGCGACGCGTGTAACACCCTTCTAAACCCAACAGAATATTCATAATTATTTAAAATAATATCATAGTAATACAACAAAGGGCGTCACATTTTATTCGTAAAATAATCATATGTGCTAGTCTTACTCCGTAACACGGGTTTTCAAAATTATTCATGACATATACATTATTAATGTTTCGCATACTTGCAGTGGAATCATAGTTCAAACAAGTTTCATTGAAAACACTTCATAATGCCACGTGATTCATGTTTCACAATTCAACATAATTTAAATTCCATGGAAACAATTTAAATGTCATAATAAAACAGGAACAAAATAGTTTTCAAAACAAAGCGTTCCCGTCCCCGATGTTACATATCAGAGCAAGACCTTCTAGACTCAAGGAAATAAATCACACTCCAAAGCTATTCTTCCAAGCCTTTATGAAGAGGATAATAATGCTCACTATAAGATTATCAATGAGAAGAGGGGTAAGCACCAACAGAACTGTGGTAAGCCTTATGATGCCCCAATTGGTAAAGGTAAACAGGAGGTTGCTCAGGGTCAGAGGACTAGTGGGGGAGATGCTTCTGCTAGTGTGGTGTGCTTCAAATATGGAAAACCTGGTCATAAGAGTAATGTGTGTACTGCTGAGGTGAAGAGGTGTTTCCGTTGTGGTAATACTGGAAATGTTCTATCTGAATGCAAGCATAAAGAGATGATTTGTTTCAACTGTGGTGAAGAAGGACACATTGGTAGTGTGTCGGAAACCAAAGAAGGCGCAAACCAGTGGAAAAGTGTTCGCTTTGGATGAGACTCATACGTCTAGTGAGGACAGGCTCATCAGAGGTACATGTTTCATTAATAGTACACCTTCAATTACTATTATTGATACCGGTGCTACTCATTGTTTTATTGCTGCTGATTATGTTGAAAGATTGAGTCTTACGTTGTCTTTTATGAATGGAAAAACGGTCGTCGAGATTCTGGCTAAGGGATCAGTGACTACTTCTCGTGTGTGTTTGAATTACCCTCTGTCGATCTTCGGCAAGGACTTTGTTGTTGACTTGATTTGTTTTCCATTAAGAGGATTGCATGTGATCTTGGGTATGAACTGGTTAGAGTATAACTATGTTCATATCAATTTCTATGACAAGTCTGTGAGGTTTTCTACTGCTGAAGAGGAAGGAGTTGGTTTGTTGACTAGTAAACAATTGCGGCAACTGATGTAAGATAAAGCGCATATGTTCTTGTTGATGGCGTCGTTATCAATGGAGAACCAAGTCAGAATTGATGAGTTGTAGGTGGTGCGCGAATTTCCTGAAGTGTTTCTGGATGAAATTCCTAGTGTACCGCCAAAAAGAGAAGTTAAACTTGCAATTGATCTTGTACCTGGTACCAGACCTATTTCTATGGCACTGTACATGATGTTTGCATCTGAATTGTCTGAATTGAAGAAGCAGTTAGAAGAGTTGCTTGAGAAAAAGTTTGTAAGACCAAGTGTATCATTGTGGGGAGAGTCTGTGTTGTTAGTAAAGAAGAAAGATGGAAGTATGATACTTTGTGTTGATTATAGACAGTTGAATAAAGTGACGATTATGAACAAGCACCCGCTTCCGAGAATTAATGACTTGATGGATCAATTGGTGGGTGCAAGTGTGTTTTCTAAGATTGATTTGAGGTAAGGATATCACCAGATTAGAGTGAAAGAAGATGATATTCAGAAGACCGCGTTCAGAACTCGTTATGGACACTACAAGTATTCGATGATGCCTTTCAGTGTGACCAATGCACTGGGAGTATTCGTGGAGTACATGAATCATATCTTTCATACTTATTTGGATCAGTTTGTGGTGGTATTCATTGACGACATTCTGATTTACTCTAAATCGGAAGAAGAACATGAAGAGCACCTAAGAGTTGTATTGCAAGTTTTGAAAGATAAAAAGTTGTATGCGAAGTTGTCCAAGTGTGAATTCTGGTTGCAAGAGGTTAGTTTCCTTGGTCATGTCATTTCTGGTGGTGGCATTATCGTGGATCCTTCTAAAGTCGATACTGTGTTGCAATGGGAAGCTCCGAAGTCAGTTATTGAGATTAGAAGCTTCTTGGGATTATCTGGTTACTATAGACGGTTTATCGAAGGTTTTTCTAA